CACCGTACAAGACTACTCACTACCGAGAGTTAGCCATCACCCTCAAATATGTAATATACCTACTAAGACCTCTGAGTCTACATGCCCTTGCAGAGGGAACATACAATTGTACTTTTTTAGACTATAAACTTTATTTTTATTAATATATATCATTAGAGTGCTTTATTTTTATAGTCTCTTTAAGGTGACAACATAGTTAGATGTCATAGGAATTACTTTTGTACAATTTCTGTTTTATAAAAAAAAAGTTGTGTTGTAGATTGTTTTGAATTTGACGTAATATTTTAAATGTATTATTTAGCGTATGTTTGGTTCTGCGGTATAAAAATTGATTAAGTGAATTAATTTGTTAAAATTGATTCTGATTAAAATCGAATTGAATATAAAATAATTTATATTTATATATATTTACATAAAAATAAATTGAACAATACATTTTAATGTAAAAGTATACCTTTAAATCATAACTAAATGTGGAAACAAAATCAATTCTATCATAAAGCAATCAAACTGGTTGAAATCAATTTTACACATTCAGAATCAATTTTAAAAATTTTAGGGAATTTCTCTTTACACCTAGTAATTGTGATTTTCACCATTGAAAATCTGAAAATGCCATTCGCAAGTGCACATATGAAGTCACCTCTCAGCCTGTTTCGCATGTGCACATGCGAAGAAACCATTTTTTGCATGTTTAGAGGTTGTTTCACATGTGCACATGTGAAACCTGCTGCGAAAAAGGTTTCGGATGTGCATATGCGAAACATCCTTTGTTTGTGTCATTTTTGTTTAAAACTACATCATTCCACTATTTTATAATCGGACAAATTTTTTACGATTATTTCAAAAATATAAAATGAGCATAATAATATGGGCATAATGATTAAATTAGATGTTCATACATAATTGTGTACATAAATTGTTTAGAAAGTAAGTACATTCAAAATATTACACCAACATCAACAAAAAACAAAACATAATATAGGATACTGCGTATGCCTGATCCTGACCCCTTGTGACCTCCTCTGCCGACTGTATTGCGTCACACTAGCTTCATCCCTAACCATCCTCCCAACTATGACAACCGCCTCAGGACCACCCCTCTCGATGATACCGGAACAGATATGCTCCCGAGACAATCTGGCTTGGCCTGCCTTGTCTCAATCGCCTGCTCTGGTCCTGGTTCTCGGCCATGTTACTGAAATAAATAATTATAATTGTTAGATTTTAAAAATAAAACAACCCAGGCAAGAATTCAAAAGTGCACATGTGAAACTGGTCAAGGGTGACTTCGCGAGTGCACATACAAAACCCCATACGCACAGCCATTTTCAAAGTTGTTGCTTTTTGCCCTAAAACATCCAAATGTCTTTTTTTTTGTCGCCCTAACAACTACATTTTACTATTCTAACACCAACATACACAATGTAACTAACCTAATAAACAACTACAAGATTGCATTGTGAATCAAATTAATTTGGAGAAAACTTACACAAATTTGAAAGCTTGGAGATGATTTGGGATAACTTGAAAAGAGTTGAAATGGAGAGATGAGCAAAATGAGTGAGTTTGGGTAGTAGAAATGTTAGGGTTTGAAGAAGAAAATGAGAAGTTTTGTGTTTGAATAGAAATGGGTTTGAGGGGTCTGTTCAGTTTGATTTGCTTAATACTGTCCACGGGCTTCGCATGTGCACATGCGAAAGGAGGATTTATGGGTAACTTCACAAATGCACATGTGAACTCATCCTGTTTTGACAAATTATAGGTTAATTTGCATACGCACATGCGAAGTCACCTGTTATAGTATAATACAGTACATTCGAATTTGCACATGCGAAGTCTGGAGATATTTTGGATTTTTCACCATAGGCCTAGAAGAAGACCACTAGGTGGCAAAATAAATTACCAAATTTTAAACGTGGAAGAAAACATAGGTCCAGTGGATATTCAACTTAGTAGAGTCCTAATGTACTTGTCTAGGTAATTGGATAAACTAGATTTAATAAAAAAATCAAGTTAAAATTAAGGGTTAAATATGTTTTGTTTCTTATAAATATCTCAAATTTCATTTTTAGTCTCTATTAAAAAAATAAAATATTTTGGTCCTTAAAAAAAATTTATTCATACAACTTTAGACCCTGTTAAAATTTTGAAAATTGGTTAATTACTATTAAATTTTTAAATTTTTGAATAATATTTTTATAATTGTTTAGAACACTATAAAATGATTATTTATCAAATTTTAGAATTTTTTAAAATGAGAAAAATTAAATATGAATTTTTTAAATTTTTAAAGATATTGACAAAAACAATGAAATTTTTTATTAGAAATCAAATTTTAAATATATTTTTTTTAAAAAACTTTTTATAACGTTCTAAACATTTCTATAAAATAATCATTTAAAAATACACATCGATTTATCAGCTGAAACTAAAACTACGTGCATAATAATTTTTTAAAGACTTAAACATGTCAATTTTTTTATAAGTTCAAAAATAAAATTTAATAATTTATAGGAATCAAAAACATATTTAATCCTAAAATTAATATAATATTCTCATTTGAGTAATGATAATAATAAATTAATAATTAATTAAGGAATAAAAAACTAAACATGTCATGGCCAATTTGCATCCTCTAATTCAATTGGAATTTGGAAGAGACTGTGCCACCGTGATGATACTAAAATGACTGAAATACCCTTGAAGATCTAAAAAAATGACTGGATTAGATTACAGAATCCAACAACAACCTTATCCTCCAAATGTTCCAAACTGCCATGTCTTCTAAATTTTCATGCGCCAAAAAATAAACAAAAAACAAAAAAGAGAGAGAGAGAGAGAAACAAAGAAAAATGGCAACAAATTTTCTCTCAACAGCAAACCCTTTTCATCTAGCAACACCAACCTATGTTCACAAGAACCAAATCATCAAATGCAATGTGAAAAGAGATTCATCACTTTGCAAAGTAGTGAATCCAAGTGTGACCAAAAGAAGCATATCCATTAGTTTTGTTACCAGTATGGTCCTTTCATTGACTGGTAAAGGCTTGTTTGATGCTAATGCTGCAATACTTGAAGCAGATGATGATATTGAGCTCTTGGAAAAAGTGAAGAAGGATAGAATCAAGAGACTTGAGAAACAAGGTATTATCAGTTCCTCCACCAAAGAAACAGGTAATGTGCATTACTCATTTGTTCTATTCTCATGTGTTATATTTGATAGCATCCATTGTTTTGATTGCAATCGGAATAACTTTTGTATTTAGCGAAACAACTTGTTGTCCGTTTGTCTGGTATTTCAGTATAAACTTTATTATAGGTAAGAAATTGGACAGAAGAATACATTTCAAAAGCATGTTCTTTCTTTTTTGTAGGGTATCTTCAGGATGTGGTGTACAAATTGAGTGAAGTTGGTAAAGCAATTGAAAAGAATGATCTAACCACAGCTGGTTCTGTCTTAGGGAGTGGCAAGGATACTACTGATTGGGTCCAAAAAGCCAACATAGCTTTGAATAAGGTAAAATCTTTCGTAACGATTTCGATAAAAAAGAAAGTTGTTTGTTAGTATTCATTACAATGCAACAATACTGATAGCTTGATATGTAAATGCTTATAAAGTAGCATTTGATTCTGAATTTCAAAATGGGAGGAAAGTGGTGCGCCTTATTATCGATTTCAAGTGGTAAATTCAAATCCAAAACTCATGCCGGAGATACAGTCCGCGTTTGAAGCCCGCTCTTAAATCTCCATTTAGAAGTTGAACTTATTGGTTGATGGAGAATTTATTTGTTTCAGTGATTCTTTCTTGGTCTGCCTCTTAATTATATATAGACATCTCATAGTTTTTGGGTAATGTTTTGACAGCTGAGTTCTAGTCCTGAAGAGAAAACTGAGGTGGACACATTCAATTCCTCACTTGCTTCATTGGTTTCATCAGGTGTGTTGCATTCAATTAGGAATTAAGCTTCATATATGACAGAAAAATGTGTTGGCTTAACTGAATTCCCCTTTATAAATTGCAATCTAAACACACTATAAAAGAATCTATATGCATCCTTGAAAATAGACTATCCTCATAAACCTTTATAAGTATGTGTTCACATAACTTTTAGGCACATAAAGTAATGTAGTCTTCATCAAAATGTATACTCTAATGATTCTTTCAAGCACACACTAACCCTCAATCCTGGTTTTTTGGCAGTTGCTCAGAATGATGTGAAGTCCTCCAAAATTGCCTTTGTGTCTTCAGCCGCCGCATTTGAGAAGTGGACCTCCTTGACAGGGCTGGTTGGTAAACTGAATGGGCTTTGAACATTGAGTGAAGAAGCTACAAGAAATTTTATTTCATCTTTAGAGATATAGAAAATTCCATTAATTTTCCCTTCTGGGTCACCAAATTGTGGTGTCTAGGAAAGACCAACATACTCATCTTTCACAGCTCATGAAGTTTGAGCTTGTGTGAATTGTCTCACAGTTGTAATTTTAATTGTAATGTAATTGATATAATTTGACTACATGCATTATTGTTCATCAAATAATGAAGCTCAAAATAACTTTCAAGCTTTTGAAGGATATTAAAAGCTAATGGTTATAACTATTGTGGTTATCATCGTTTATTTATATATGCAATAAATAAAACATATGTAGGTAGCCTCCAGATAAATGAGACTTGGCACATTACGTTGGATGACACTACAAGCATATTTAGAATCAAGGTCTCACATGATTATATAGGTCCATAAGATTACAGGTATCATACAATACAAATGTTACATGGGAACTAGAAGCTACATGTCTCTCCGGAACATAGATAGACGGTACATTATAGAGCTACTCTATGATTGTCTATAGTCATTTCAATGAACAATCAGATAAATAACATTAACAACAAAAACTACAGTCATCCTCAGACAGATCTAAAGGCATCACAGTGACAGAAGACAGAAGCCAAGAGTTTATTATTCTATTCCTTGTTCAAGAGATTTGGCCTCAACAATTCAGCTTCCATTCACAGTCACCTCTGACTCAGTCTTGTTGATATCATGAATCTTGTAATTTTCTTCACCGTGCACTTTTGTTGCTTCCTTCTCCTTGATTTCTCCTTCAGCCTCACGAGTGATTCTGTTATCTTCCTCTTTGATTTCCCCTTCCACTTCAGCTGGTTTCTCAGCAGTAAGGGTGGCTTCTGGTTTCTCTGCTTCCCCAGATCCGCCATCTTGTTTTGTCTCCTCGTGTGGTTGTTCAATCTTTTCTTCAACCTTAGTCTGAACAGCTTGCTTCGTCTCCTCCTGTGGTTGTTCAATCTTTTCTTCAACCTTAGTCTGAACAGCTTGCTCCGTCTCCTCCTGTGGTTGTTCAATCTTTTCTTCAACCTTAGTCTGAACAGCTTGCTTCGTCTCCTCCTGTGGTTGTTCAATCTTTTCTTCATTCTTATTCTGAACAGCTTGCTTTGCCTCCTCCTGTGGCAGTGGTTGTTCAATCTTTTCTTCCTCAATCTGAGCAGCTTGGTTCGTCTCCTCCTGTGGTTGTTCAATCATTTCTTCATCCTTATCCTGAACAGCTTCAGACCCCTCAGCTCCTTTGTCATCAATTTTCTCTTTGGAAGCTTGTAACTCTCCATCAGTAGTGTTGGATTTCCCCTCATCATTTGCTATATTAGTATTTTCTTCAGGTTTAATGGACTCTTGGACATCTGCATCCTCTGGTCCCTTAACATCTTGATCTTCGTTAACAACTTCCTTTTCCTGCTCTAAATCCTTACCATCCTTAGTTTCATCGGCTTCTTGCATTTCCTCATCTTTTGTCTCCTCTTCTTCCTCAGAAGCTTCTTTCTTTGAAGCTGATGACTTTTTGTAACGTTTCTTAGAGGGCTCACTTTTTGGTTCTAGCGGAGGAGATGCCTTGACCTTCTCACTGATTCTTGATGATCTTCTTGGAGTCTCGCCAGTTCCCCAATCAAATTCTGAGATGCTTGGGCCACCGGGGTTTGCTTTCAAATACTTATCCAGCTGCCTCTTGTTATGGATCTCCTCTCCTGTTGGTGCAGTGAACACAATCTCATTTTTCTTCGGAGTTCCAGACTTTTTTGGAAAGAACTGCAAAGGAAATATAATTGATGAATACTCATGAGCAATAATATGCAACAAATTAACAACTGTAACACATACAAGATCTTGTTCTAAGTTATTAACTTCTACAAGTAGTCCCTAATGTGAAAAATCAAGCTCTTCCCTACTCTCACATCACAATACATTACAGTGTCGTCTTAGGAGCTGATGCTGTTAAAAGATTAACAAGATTTATGTCTTATGATTTGAACAATATATTAAACCCTTGACAATACTTGATTAAAAATGTTTTACTTCGTTTTCTTATTTTCAAAAACCTTTTTATTTACAGTTTTATGCATTTCTGTGCTTAGTTAAACATCATACACTGTTATAAGCAAGAAGTTTTACTGTAAGCTTCAGTAAGAGAGTAGCAACTAGCATGTCACCAAATTAACCTTGTACAGTCAGAAGGCTTTTCTTTCCCTCTTTAATTCTTCCACTCAGGCTATACCTGGGAGAGGTGTGAAGACTGAGGACAGGCAGGTGTCCATGGCTCATAATAACCAAGAAACACAAAAATGGATGCATAAGGACTCTACAAACCATTTCCAATATATAACTGCAGTAATAGAGAATAAATAGACAACATCTATCATTACCAAACCAACTGTTTGTCTCGGGAAATAAAGTAAACAAAACTTCTCATGCAATGACTACATAGATAGATGCTTCTCTAGTTTTGTAATATACAATAACCCAGAGGGCGTGCTTACCTAAAAAAAAAGCGAGTCAAATGGAGCTTGGGAAATGTTAGATATAATTGTCAGAGATGTGCAATAAATTATCATGTAAACTCATATTCTTTCCATAGACTAGAAAATTAACAGAGGAGTAGAGACTTTCATAGAATAAGTAAAAACATCGGTGATTGCATATGTTTTATAAAACTCAGGGAATATTAATGCAATTTACTTTAAGAAATATGAAAAGACTGTTACATGGTGGGCATATCCAGTGCACAATATCAGAAAATATTAAGAATAAATGGTTACAAATTTTACAGAATATAATATGATAATTATTTCACATTTACATGGTAAGAAACAAGGTTAATTTCCTCCCTACTGACTTATACATGAGCATGACTTATTAACTGGGTTCAATAAACCATGTAGATCGTGTTCTGGTCGGGGTTGGATTTGCTAATCAACACTAAGCCTGACAAAAAAGAATCAGTAGAGATTTGAAAATAGATTTTCTGAAAAAAGAATCAGTAGAGATGATCTATAAAAAGATTTAAAAATATAATATCTTGATATTGGTGCTAAACGAAAATGTATTAGTTGGATCATTGTCTTAAGAGCAAACTGAACACCTGACAAACTAAACAGAATAAAAATTGAGATCAACTGAACAGCAAACTGTATTGGATCTCAAACATGAAAATATTAATGTTTAACAAATTTGGAAACTGTTCATTTTACAATTTTTGGGAGAAAGATATGTTTGTTAAGAACTTATGGAGTGATGATACGATGACAAATGAAGAATGATAACTTACCTTACTCACAATCATGGAGTTAAACATCATTTACTGTAACATAAACAACAAATATTTGTAATCGAACAAATTGTGCAAAAATACAAGAATAAACTAAAATCATAAGTTGAATGATTTGCTGCCATGTGATTTATTGTAAGAGCAGTGAAAATATAAGCAAATAATATGATCACTGTCTATCATAGGGCCAATAGACTTTCATAATAGTAGTACGAAAAAATTCTGAAAATAGGACCCAAACATGAAATGACATAATCTACCTTACTGATTATGTAACTTTTGTCACCTCTTCAGGGAAGAGGGATTGTTAAGCAATAGCAACTGATTTTGATAGAAGAAAACAAATATCATGATAGCCATTATATCTTTATCCCTAGAACAAATGTTTATAAAATGATATCCAAGAAAATTTAAAATTACGTCTTTAGTCACAATTAACCTGTGATTTCCTATCTTTCAGAAAACAAATATTGCATGCCCATCTATAATTGTCAAAAAGGAAATTATTTGGCAAATTCTGCAGATATAAGGATTATCCCTTGAACAAACAAATAAACACAGGAAGACAACAATACTGAGAAATCATTATCATCCCCTGGTAAATCCCAGAGCTACAAAATGCACAAGAGTCATACTTCAACAAGTTTCCTAGTCCAAGTGAAAAACAGATCAATGATAAAAACACCGAGATCAGGAACAAACAAGCCTAATTGCACATTACCCAATTCGCAATATTATAAAAATTAACAAAATTAAAGTTAGAAACTCCCAGTATAAACCAAAATGTACATTAAAAAAAATTTCCATACTCAAAACTGCAGTCCTATCAGGGCAACAAACTTCTGTTTTACCAAGTAATACTCAGAAAGAACGAATATTTCATGTAACCAAGAAACACCCACAAAGCAGCACATATCAATTTGAACAAAACCCGTCCATACAGTACTAAAACCGTAAGCAGAAGTCATACAAAACTTCAGAAACACTCTCACAGACAATACATCACACAGAACACATAAGAATCTTGAAAATCCCCTGCAGCTAGACAATTTTACAAACTCAGAGTACAGAATACCCAAATCTCAGCCGCGAATCTAGAAACAAACACCTTCAGCAGGTCAAAATTCAAGAAAACATAAAACCAAATCCATAGTTTGAAAAACCAACAGCAAAGCATCTTCACAACACAAATCGCAAAATTAAACAATCCCCACATAAAAACCATCAAAGAATTCAAATTACCCTAAAATTGAAAAGTCAAAAAAGGGGAAAAACACGAATCAAAAATTAAACCTTTTTCGTCCAACCAGATGGAGCTGGAAGCTCCAAAGAAACAGGCTCCTCAGCTCCAGCTGCAGCCACAGCAGCAGAACCCTCCTTCTCCACTGAACTCGCCATTTTCACCTGCAAATTATCCCCAAAAAATTTCAAAAAAACTCCAATTTAAACAATAATTAACAATAATAAAGTTCCAATTTTGAAAAATTGAAGTTAAATTGATAAAAATTGGAAGAAAAACGAAGAAACGAGAAGAAAAAAAGGGAGAAAAAATACTTAGGGTTTTTTGGTTTGGGTTTGTTTCGATTTTCCCTTTGTCGAGTGAAATTGTGTGTTTTTAAGTGTAAGGTGTAGAAAGAAGAAAAGAGAGGAAAATAATTAATATTAAATTTATTTATTTATTTATTTTAAATTGAAATTTAAGCACGGAAGTGACACGTGTGGAATCTTACGAAATATGCTTGTTCTCTCACTAACCAAAAGAAAGCTTCTAAATTGATTTCTGTGTTGGGCACTTCTACATCCCTCACAGTATCATTCTCCTTTAGACACCTGTCTTTTTTCCTTTTTTTTTTCTCACGAAAAATTTGAAATTGAAATTTTTTTGTCGTTTTCTGACAAATAAGATAATTCAAATTATCCATTTGTTACAAAACTGTGAATTTGTATTTTATTTTATTTATGTATCCACCACTTTCACGAGGAAGTCACCAATAAACATAGGTTAGATAGATCTAATAAGACGAAATTTTTATCTACGCATGTGAATTCTAAAGCAACTTCTTTCATGGCTACTGTAAAAAAAAATTGACCAAGAAAAAGTAATACATTTGCTATTTGCTATTTTAACATATGAATTGTTTTACTTTTATAATCCACTCCCTGAATATAAATAATGTATCTAATTATGATTATATACTAAATTTATTCAATAAATGATATATTTAATCATTATTATACATCAGATACATCAATTATTTAATGAAGTTAAAAAAAAATTGTTGCTTATAAATGTGTAAAATATTGTATGTAACTTAAGTAACATGGTGTACTTTTATTAGGTAAGTGAAGCTCTTTTTTACTAAATCTAGGGCTTATTTCATCACCCAAATCGGACTAGACATGCAAAATGTTTCATAACCTTTCTCCTACGGAATCTCTTACATTTGCTACTTTAATATATGAATTGTTTTATTCTTATAATAAGATGTTGCATGGAGCTTAAGTAACATGTTGTACTTTTATTAGGTGAGTGAAGCTCTTTTTCACTAAACTTAGGGCTTAATCCATCACCCAAATCGAACTAGACATGCAAAATGTTTCATAAACTTTCTCGAACGGGATCTCTTACATTTTCTACTTTAATATATGAATTGTTTTACTCTTATAATAAGATGTCGTATGGAGCTTAAGTAACATGTTATACTTTTATTAGGTGAGTGAAGCTCTTTTTCATTAAACTTATCGCTTAATCCATCACACAAATCGGACTAGACATGCAAAATGTTTCATAAACTTTCTCGTATGGGATCTCTTACATTTGCTACTTTAATATATGAATTGTTTTACTCTTATAATAAGATGTTGTATGGAGCTTAAGTAACATGTTGTACTTTTATTAGGTGAGTGAAGCTCTTTTTCACTAAACTTATGGCTTAATCCATCACCCAAATTGGACTAGTCAGGCAAAATGTTTCATAAACTTTCTCGTACGGGATCTCTTACATTTTCTAATTTAATATATGAATTATTTTACTCCTATAATAAGATGTTGTATGGAGCTTAAGTAACATGTTGTACTTTTATTAGGTGAGTGAAGCTCTTTTTTACTAAACCTATGGCTTAATCCATCACCCAAATCGGACTAGACATGCAAAATGTTTCATAAATTTTCTCGTATGGGATCTCTTACATTTTCTACTTTAATATATGAATTGTTTTACTCTTATAATAAGATGTTGTATGGAGCTTAAGTAACATGTTGTACTTTTATTAGGTGAGTGAAGCTTTTTTTCACTAAACTTAGGGCTTAATCCATCACCCAAATTGGACTAGTCAGGCAAAATGTTTCATAAACTTTCTCGTACGGGATCACTATACAATTATGACATAAGAGGATTAGGGGGGTTAGCGGAAAAAAGGAAGTCAAAAAGTTAATTCTTAAACAAAAACCCGATTTGATTTGCATTCAAGAAACAAAAATGGAAGTTGTGGACAGGAACCAAAGTGTAATGATGTAGGGGTCGTCGGAGTGTGATTTCACTTTCTTGGCATCTAAAGGAAGGCCAGCGGGCCTCTTGACAATATGGGATAATAGTGTCTTTAGGTTACACAGAAAATATACCAGAGAGCAGCATGTCCTTATATTGGAAGGGGAGTGGGGAGAAGGAAAACCTCATGTTATCATAGTGAATGTGTATGCACCTTGCGAGACTAGAAGAAAGCAATTTTTTGTGGGTGGACCTATCTTCGATGATCATGGCTAAGAGTGAAGTTAGATGGTGCTTGATGGGAGATTTTAACGCAATTCATTTAGAAACTGAAAGGAAAGGGTCGAGCAACCACTCTAGAAGGGAAGAAATGGAAGCTTTTGATGATTTTATCACTGAGTCTGGATTAATCGATCCCCCTCTTCATAGCAGTAGGTTTACATGGTCCATAATGAATGTATCAGCAATGAGTTGGACCGACAAATTCCTTATTTCAGAAGCATGGTATGTAACTTGGTTAAAATGTAGGCAATGGAGCTTAGACAAAGAATTATCAGATCACCGTCCAATAATCATGTGTGAAAAGAGGGTGAACCGGGGTCCTAAACCATTATGTATGTTGAATTGTTGGAGATAAATAGAAGGATATCATAAGTTCGTGGAAGAATAGTGGCGAAATATAAAAGTGGTAGGTTAGGGGATGTTCGTTCTCAAAGAAAAGTTAAAACTAATCAAAGGAAGCCTCAAAGAATGGCACAAGAACAATACCCAAAATTTATAAGAACAAATCAAAAGGCTAAAAATAAAATCAACAAACTTGAAAATAAAGGAGAGGAAAAAGGTTTATCAGAAGAAGAGATAGCCTTCAAGAGAGAGCTTACATCGGAAGTGCATAAACTGTCAAAACTTAATTGTAGCATTCAATGGCAAAAGTCTAGAGCTAGGTGGTTGAAGGAGGGTGATGCTAATTCCAAGTACTTTCACGGGTTCATCAACAAAAGAAGAAGAAGTAATGAAATTCTAAGCCTTGAAGTGGATGGAAGACAACTGACAGAGGTGGAAGATATTAGAAAAGCAACCGTTGAACATTTCCATGACCATTTCTCGGCTAAGGGAGAGAGACCCATTCCAGCCATCATGAACTTTAAAAGTATGGTTGAAGGCGGTAGATATGATCTAATTCAAGAGTTCTCTGAAGAGGAAATCTGAATTGTGGTGTGGGATTACGATAGTGACAAAAGCCCAGGTCCAGATGGGGTAAATTTTAATTCGTGAAGGAGTTTTGGGAAGACATCAAGGCTGACTTCTTAAGAGTTATGGTAGAATTTCACCAACACGACAAGATTGTTAAAGGGGCTAACTGCTCTTTTGTGGTGTTGGTTCCTAAGAAGAAAAACCCGGTGAAAATCTCAGATTTTAGGCCTATCTCTCTTATTGGTTGTATTTACAAGGTATTATCAAAGGTATTGGCGAATAGGCTCAAAAAAGGGATTGGCTTAGTAATTGCAGAAACTCAATCCGCTTTTGTTTTCAGAAGGTAAATAGTTGATGGAATTATTATCATAAACGAGATTGTATATGAAGCAAGGAAAAAGAGTAAGGAGGTTGTGTTGTTTAAAGTAGATTTTAAAAAGGCCTGTGATTTGGTGGATTGGAATTTTCTAGATTTTGTAAAGGGAAAATGGGGTTCCTTGAGAGATGGAGATATTGGATATCAGAATGTTTACAAACTTCTACCATCTCAATGTTGGTAAATGGAAGTCACACAAAGGAGTTTAAGATGGGGCGAGGGCTTAGACAAGGCGGCCCAATATCGCCTTTTCTTCTCCTAATTATAGTGGAAGGGTTTAATGTGCTGATGAAAAACGCTATGGAGTTGGGGAGATCTTATGGATTCAAATTTGACGGAGGGGAGGATCAGTTTTCTCACTTACAATTAGCCGACAACACTTTAATTATTGGAGAGAAAAGGTGGGAAAATATTAGCACTATTAAGAGCAACCTTAAGTTGTTTGAAATTATGTCTGGTCTCAATGTTAACTTTCATAAGAGTTTATTGGTTAGGATAAACATCCTTAAATATTGGCTAGAAAAAGCGGCAAAAGTGTTAAATTACAAACTAGGATCCTCAATTTTCACTTACCTTGGTCTACCAATCGGTGCCAATTATAGAAGAACAGCTATGTGGCAGCCTGTTTTAGATATCGTGAGATCTAGATTCTCGGGGTGGAAGAATAAGCAGTTATCAATTAGAGGTTGCGTGGTCATTATAAAATTGGTATTGTCGACTCTTCCGGTCTATTTTCTCTCTTTCTTCAAGGCTCCGTTAGGTATCATCTCTAAACTCGAATCTTTATTTAAACAATTTATATGGGGTGAAAAAAGGGGGTTAGGTATTGGAAATTTGAGGTCCTTTAATCTTACATTACTAGGTAAATGGAATTGGAAAGTAAAAAATGATAGAAATGGATTATGGTTTAGAACTCTTGTAAATATATACAACATGAGAGATGGAGTTATTAACAACTGCGGGAGAGGATCCTCAGGATGGTGGCAAGAAATTTTCCAAATTGATGTAGATAGACTTATTTCATCAAATGAATATTCGGTGAAAGAGGTGTATAGAAGCCTATCCTCGAATGGTCAATCAGTGTCTACCTATTCTTGGTCCAAGGTTTGGAATAAGGCGATCCCAACTAAAGTGTCATGTATGGTGTGGAGAATGCTCCACAAAAGACTTCCTAATAAAGATAATCTAGCTACGAGGGGTGTTTTAGCTCAGGATCAAATTGGATGTGTCGGTAGCTACGGGCATGAAGAGTTAGTCTCTCATATCTTTTTTGAGTGTCCTTTATATACAGGTACATGGTGCATTATATGCATATGGCTTGGAGTGTAGTTTGTCTTTTC